CGTGTCTGGTTAGCAATGTCGAATTACTGCTTTTAAACTACAAACTTCCCATGATTTCCCAAGAACGTTCATATCTGCTCGAAGGACGCATATTTTCTTTCAAATTTCTCGAACATTCGTGTTAAAGCTGTTTATTATAAACAGAGCATTTACTTAACTATTAGTGTCTATATAAATAACGTGTAACAATAAAATATATTAAAATAATTGTCGGACTTAGTCCATTTCATAATATATATATATATATATATATATATACGAATGATAAAATATAGTCATAAGGTATACTATATTTATGTATTAAAGAGCTCAATGCCAGGAATAGTGCGTATGTAAATACAAAAGTGGACGCTGAAGTCAACACCCAGATTGCTTCTAAACGCAACCGTCAGGCCTATCGCCTTCGGGTGTTGACATCAATATCCACTTATATATATATATATATATGTGTGTGTGTGTGTGTGTGTGTGTGTGTGTGTGTGTTTGCCACTTTTGAATTGATGCAAATGAAGGGACATTTTATTTTAAGTTTCTACACCTCAATTTTACTGTTAATTGATGATGGTCAGTTAAATCGAATCTTTTATAATTTATATGAAATTTTGAACTAGAAATGATGAGGCTCCTTCAGCGTTAAGGAGATGTTGTTGAAGCGTCGCAGAAAGAACGGATACCTAATATGATACACCTCGTTTGAAAGAAACAATATGAACAAAAATGATAATTTTCGAGAATCCAATACCGGCAACTTAGAGATTAATTATTTGAATTAATTATTTAAATTAATTAAAACAAGAGAAAACTATTCAACAATAACATTTATTTAAATTTCGTTGTTTCTAACGAAATTTTCTTGTTTCTTAAAATGTTGTTTAGTTTTTGTTTTTGTTTAGTGGCGTATTTGTACATTATTTTATACTTTCAGATGAAATGTATGTTTATACACCCTTGTGCAAATTAATTGAAACAAGACGAATAATTCCGTTATTTACTTTCTGTCGTAATTTTTCAATGATAAATGACCCAATGCACATGTTAGTATGTCGTATGTCCATTCCACAAAGTCGTTACTTGCAGATTGACCACAGATTCTCGATTGGATTTAAATCAGGACAGTTTCCCAGCCAGTCTATAGTATTTTGATTTGACACTGGTAAGGCTTGCCAGTGTGTTCGTACAGTGTTACAAATTTGAGTGCGCTTAGTGACGTCCATCGCAGGCAATGGCCAAAGAACAACTAATCGACAGTGTAGACAATAGTGTCTGGGTGAGATAAAAATCTGATGCAGTCATTAATCACGCAATATTTCAAGGCCAAACCAATTTCATCATGCACCCCGAAAATAGATTCATATTACTGCACATCATTGCAAATGACCTAATCTGAGGAAAAATAGAAAACTCCAGGGGTCTAAAACTGACCGTATGGTGAAAGAAAGGAAACTACAGCGGTTGTTTCAATTAATTTGCACAATGGTGTATATATATATATATATATATAATTTTAATTTAGATATTGTGTAAAGATTTCAACATATTCTTGTTCTAATATCTAAAAGAAAATAATATATATGTTTGCTCAACACAAAGTAGAACTATATATATATATATATATATATATATATAGAGAGAGAGAGAGAGAGAGAGAGAGAAATTTAGTAGAAATATATATATATATATATATATATATATATATATTTCTACTTTGTGTTGAGCTTTTTTTTTTTAAAAAAGTAAATGCTACTAACAGCGAAATTTTACTTCATCTGTTCTTTCTCTCATTTGAGATATATATATATATGTATATATATATATATATATATATATATATATATATATATATATATATATATATATATATATATAGAGAGAGAGAGAGAGAGAGATAGATAGATAGATAGATAGATAGATATTGTTGGTGTTATATATTTTAAGGTATAAACCTATTTCTTTAAGGTAGGACATTATGTTGATGGTTACAGTATTTTCAAATGGTTTTCACCTGTTGGTTACCTCGTAGCATTTATGACTTACAGGTGTCAATTGAGTTCATTCGGTTAAAACGTGTTTCATCGTGATTGCGGCTTGGCATTCTGTACATGTTGGTTGATCTTCATTCTTCAGCAAGTATGTATGCGTGTTTCGCTTTTGGAAAGCATATTTCGCTATTGTAATGTACCTTCGGATTTCTGTATCATATCTTCTGTCGTCTGATAGTTACATTACTGAAGTTACTCGATTTTGACACCTCCGATTTGCATTTCGCAACATGGACTGCTGCCCCATCGTGCTAAGGAAATAATTTTAAATGCATCCACATAAAAACCCACATAAAATAGCACATATTACAATTGTTACTTACATGTCATTTTTTTTAAGTTTCCGGTGCCGGTTTTGTTCCAGTTCCTTCTAAAGTCTACTTCAACTCTATACTTCTAACGTCTCCGCCTAAAACTCTGAAAAATTAAATTTACTATTTATTTATTTTTTTTCTCCTCAACAGGAGTAGATAAGTTAACCTATCATCCGATTCATTCACTCCTCCCCGATTATTTGAACAGAAGTAGAAATTTATCTCTTGTTTCCGGTCTAGGATTGGGTTTCCGGTTTCTTCTAAAGTCTTTTCCTTCTCTTTCACTTCTGGTGGCTCCTTGAATCTTGGTGCCATTATCTCCTTGACTGGAGTGGTGCTTGTTACTCTGTGACCCTCTCCCAGAGTGGCTCTTCGGCTTCGTACAGAGTGAACATCACTGTAAAAAAAAAAAAAATTCCATCACAAGTAAGGTTTTTATTCAGGAATAGACATGAAAAAATATCAAAAAGCATTTACTAAAATTCCTTTTTGCAGTTATACATAGCATATTTAAAATATTTTACTTGTTTGGAAGAAAAATAAAATGTTAAATGTTGACATCATCATCATCATCATCATCATCACAAATGTTTCGATTTGAGGTCATGAATTAACATGTTCTCTCATCTTCAGTGACATTATATACCTGATTCGACAATATTTTGCCAGCCTTCTCTGTCCTCTGCGAGTTTACGGATTCTTTGCAGATCGTCCTTGATTGTAAACTACTTCAAATAAAAGTGGAATCTTTCTACCTTCTTTTTTGAATGTCTCGGTTCAGCGTTGTGACTATATTGGTTCTCGGATGACCTCTGAACTTTTTGAAGTCAGTCTTTTCAAAGTAAAACTCCGTGACTTTGTTAGCTGGGTATTCTGAATCCATTCGCAAAATATGTGCAAGAAGTTTCCATCTATTCCGAATATTGTCTTTCTCAGTATACAACGTCTTAAATAAGTAGTTACTGCTTAGCAGTAACTGAAGCAGCCATTACCTACACCGTCTAATGGCAAAATTCAAAAGTTAATATAAGGACCGCGCGACTAATACAAATATTCTTTTTTTAATTTTTTTTTAATTATATAATATTTGTTTAACAATATGTGTAACTAAGGAGTATGTAATAAATGTAGAAAAATCAAGTCTCTCAATATATGCTTATATTCAGCTAAAGGTAGATTTTTTTTCGTGAAAGGCTGTGTTTTGTTATGGTTCACTGCTTGTTTAAATAGTTCACACACGGATATATTTGACGTTCTTAAGAGTAAGATAAAATTAAAATGTTAAATCATTTTAATTAATTATTCAACCAACATTCTTGAAATCTAACAGGATTTATCTCATCGTTAGTTCTCACCATGGTTTAAAAAGTGATTCATTTCATACCAAAAGTGTGATAAAAATATACTCACAACATATATATATATATATATATATATATATATATAAAGACATTTTTTATGTTTATATATTCTTTTATATATATATATATATATATATATATATATATATATATACGAGGGTCATTCAATAAATAAGGTGAATTTTTTGGTATAAGGACTTCTGATACAGATAGATGCTTACTTTTTTTTTTTTTTCAACGTAGTCTCCCAGCACTGTCACACACTTTTCCCATCTGTGCACAAGCTTCCGTATTCCCTCAGCGTAAAAATCTTTGGACTGATGTCTCAGCCAGTCGCTCACAACACTTTTGACTTCATCGTCACCTTTTAAACTTCGTGCCTCTCGCGAACGCTTTCAAGGGACCAAACAGGTGAAAGTCTGAAGGGGCAAGGTCTGGGTTGTAAGGGGGATGAGGGAGCAATTCCCAGCCCAGCTCGTTGATGGTCTGCACCGTTTGGGCTGCTGTGTGAGTCCTTGCGTTGTCATGATGCAAGATGACTCCTTCTGACTGATGACCCCTGCGTTTGTTCTTTATGTCTTTCTTGGCCTGCCTCAGCAGTCCACTGTCACCCATCTGTCAGACTGAATGAGGTCATTGACTGATTCGATCACCTCAGGGGACCTCACTTCTGTAGGCCTCCCAGGCCTGTCTTCATCCTCAACACTGCTCTGTCCTTCTTTAAACAATTTAGACCACTTGTAGACATTTTTTTTGGCTGAAACATGTGGCACCATACACAGTTGACATTCTCCTATGAATTTCAACTGGTTTGCACCCTTCAGCAACCAAAAACTTGATAACTGACCGCTGTTCAATCCTGGAACATGCTTCTTGGTCGGCCATCTTTATTAATCGCCAAAACTCTCAAAGTTTTTTTTTTAATCTACAAAAGAAATTAAATCCATGTGAAAAAGAAGTAAAACAAAAAAAAATAGAAAAAAGTAAGCTTCTATCTGTATTAGAAGTCCTTATACCGAAAAATTCGCCTTATTTATTGAATGACCCTCGTATTTCCGCATTTAAAGTAAGACGATGTCTAAAATATAGCTAATTTTCAGAATTTATCCTATACCTGTAGCATATTGATTATATAAAGATGATTGGAAATTTTGATACTTATTGTATCCTTAGAAATTCAAAATAAACGAAATAACAAAACTGATTCTATATCATGTTTTTCCTACATACGTCCCCTAAAAGAGAAATCATTGTTTTGTTTACGTTTCATCACGTGATCTCTTAAGAATGATTCTTCTTCTTCTTCTTCTTCTTCTTCTTCTTCTTCTTCTTCTTCTTCTTCTTCTTCTGTCTAAGCCAGTTGAGATTTCTTATTAGCTTATATCCATAGCAATCATGGAACCACCAACAAAACGAAGAATATATGAAGCGAGGTTTAAAGTTATTCAAGGAATCGAACAACTATTTTTCTGTTAGAAAATTCGATGTGACCGAGAAGCCGTAATTTTAATTAACTAACATTATCTTAATGGTTATTGAAAGTTCAGCGAAATATAAAGTTTGCTGTGAATGCAATCATAACTCGATGTTTACATTTTCTCAAGAGGTTTTCCTTTTTTTCAACGATTTTCTTTTTAAAATTGTGTCGTGAAAGTTTCCTTAAAAGATACGAAAAACAGTAAAAATACTGTTGACTAAGTAAGCTTCCGCGCATTACTATTCGAAGCAAACGTATGTAAACAACGCTAGTTATGGCGGTCGGACAACGTGAAACAGATCGAACTTACATTGTCGATAAATCGTAAACGGTAATCGAGCGTAAACTTTTATTGTCATTTTCGAAATAATCAGGCAATTTCAAACTATGGTGGAATATTTTCATTGCCGTGGGATTTGGTGTATTACTGCAAATTAACCAATAATTTTGTTTTCTCATTCATTCTTGGTATTGTTGAGAACTGAAAAAAGTGTTCAAAATTCTGTTAGCAAACTCGATCTAAATACAATTATTGTTGTCACCGTAAATATTAATATTAGGTCCTCTCACTGGAATTCTGCAAATTATTTTATAATTTACGAAAAATAAATATTTCTTTTTATTGTAAAAATACAAACTAAACATATTACTTTGTTTTTTCTTCTGAAAAATCTTCAATGCAAGACAACTGACAATTTTGTTTCCTAAAAGGACCTTAACCGTGTGAAAATTAAAAACTAAATACTTGTCAGGTTACCTCCTCCTTATCTTCGAAACTGCTACTAGGAGACGCTTTCTGGTTTATAAATACTCGTCGATGTATTTTCCCGCCCTCTTTTTCTCATTTTTCCGCATATACGTCAACATGTAAGATCTTTCGCGGAAGAACGCGTTCACTTTTGGGTCATGCCTGAACAATGACACATATACGTACATACATACGCACATTCACTCACTTCACATACTTTGGACCAAGAAGTTTCCGCATTCATTTGTTACACACATCATTGTCTTGGTCACTTGTAACCCTTTGTTGTTAATATATTATCATTTGATTATGCATATATATCGCTTCTTGTTGTTTATTTACATTTCTTTTAGGTTGATTCACATCCCGAGTCTGCCATGTTTGTTGTCGATATTTCAGGAGACACACGTGTTTATCTCTCAATGCATACAACGCATACACCGGCCCGCAACATGCTGACTCGGTTCAAATCCTGGTATTAAAATTAGAAATAAAAGTTAATACCGCTGAAAGCAATACCGGTATTGGGAGGACGTAGATTTGTTGTAAAGGAGAGGATATTTTTAATTCCATCCTAAAAGTACAAGTTTCTTTTATTGAACTATACTTAAACAAAAAAACAAACAAACTAAGTACTTGTGTATCAGTTAGTTATGTGCCATATGTGATACACGCTTAGGCTATCATGTATCTTTCGATACATGACTGACGAGGCAGATTTTTTTCCTGCAGTAGGTTGTCATTTCTTTCGGCAGTAGACCAGTTGCCATCCAAGGCTATAGAACCTGACCTGTCCAGCTATTTCCCAAGGGTATTAGAACGTAAGTGAATGCAATTGATTCGACTGGAATTCGAACTCGGCTCTCCGATTCCTCAATCCGAGCCGCTATCCATTACTCAACGATGCCTCACTTGCGTACATGAAATCTGAAAAGTTCTAAGAATTTGCAAAGCGCGTACGAACGAAATGTACTAATTAATTTTTGTCGCTATCCTTTGGAAACCTTTTATTTTCATAGAAAATATTTACATTCTTTGATCATATCTATACAGATATAAAGTGGTAGAAGTTAAAACTCGAAACGAATAAATATACAACCAGAGCCATCATAACGCATGGGCCCGATGGACACTTGCCCGGGTCCCACAAGTATAGGGGCACCATTCGAATCTATGTATATTAAGTGACATGTGTTACAGAAGCCCCTTTATAGGAAATATTCAAATAGAAAATACTACAAGCCACGCGTATTGCGATTAGTGAAAATATGTCTTATTAGAGAGATCCATTTTTGAGTTGGTTCTTGAATAAAAAAGAAAATGGAAGAATGTCTTCCTTTTGACCTAGAAGGCACCGGAAACGGCGAGGATTTTCTTCAAAAAGGCCGCCCACCTATATAAATTGAAGGGCTGGTTTGTCTCTCCAATTCAATTCACATGCAGACAATTTCGCTATCACGGAAAAAAATCAAAGAACTAACCCTGATTCCCGACGATCAGTCTTCGCACAGACACGCTGGTAAAACTCTCATTTCTGTCTTTTAATATTTATGAACAAGACAAGTGTTAACTTTCTGTTGGAGACAATATTATCTTTTAATTTTTCTCTGGTTTGATTTAATTCTAGACTGAATCAATATTGTTTCGAATGTTTAAATGTAATATATTTATATTTTTACTCTTGTAAATAAATTATTTTTATCATTATAAAACTATAGTGTATAGTATTTCTTTATTCTGTTTTTCTTTCATCTTCTCTCTTACACTTTTTTCTTTTTGTCGCAACTGTGACAAAATGGCGGCTCGTCCTAAGCTTTGATAATCATTTCAAAACAAAAAGCAACAATTCAACTGTCTTAACTAAAACAAATAATTTTCTCATTCGATGTTCATTCCCCCAACAAAGAAAGTAATTTATATTTCTCTTTAGTGTTATGGACCGTTTGCCGCAACACAAAATTTAAAAAGAAAAAGATAAAAAAAGCTACTTGTTGTTAAAGACATAACCAAGGTTTACCACTCCGCTGTGTGTGGGCTCTCTTACAGGTTCAAATACACGGATGAGGAGAAACAACCAACAGTAACGAACAACAAACACAAGAATATAATTTAATGAGATGTAATTATAACAAGACGATACATGAAAACATTTGTTCGTGAGAAGATGTGTACTATACATTTCTGTGTGGAAAGATGTATGCGTTATATATTTGATGTGAAAAGTCAAAGCAAACACTTAGCTTTTGTCTGTCGTCTGAAATAAAATAAGGTTTTCTCTTTTATCCTTTTCTCTTTCTTTCTTTTGTTTTATATTTCTCTTTTGTTCTTTTTACTTTCAGTTCAACTCTTTTCGCTCGTACAGAGATATCTTTTAATGTGTTATTCTTTCGTCACTGTTACAAGTTTTGACCTCAAGAGATGGTCATTTCTGTTGTTCACATATTCAGCAAAGTAGAATTCATCATTCGGTTATGAAGATTCAGCGCTGTATCAGTCATAGCTTTCCTCCAATTAAATAATTGGGCGAGTTGAATGTGGCGGGAGGCAATATCAACCAGAAATAATAATAATAATAATGATAATAAAAGAGAATATGCTGGAAAACAAGAAAAAAGGGGATTTTCAAAAGAACCAAAATGTTAAAAATGCTGTAAAGACTTTGAAATGTAAATGTTACAGATTTTATTTAGAAAACGAAATACAATTTATTAATAGAAAATAAAATTCAGAATGTCTTGATCGAAAGGTTAATTTTATCGATAACAAGACAGCATGAATCTATGTAAAGTTTACCAAAACTGCTCAGAGCTATTAATGGATAAACTTAGAACAATGGCAATACAGTCAGGGTACTGAAAGTTGAAACGAGTGTGAAGCTTTAATTTAGAAGTGTATCAGGAAAATAGGTCGATCCCGTTCCTAATAAAAGTATGTACGTACGTTCGCACTAGAAGAACAAATACGTCACCAGTTCTCTATATAAAGAGGCGAGCCAACCGGAAGAAAGAGCAGAGCAGAGTTAGGTTAGAGACAGTGAGGAAGTGTCTTCAGAGACTGGAACAAAGCGTCCGCTAACATGTGCTGCTTCTGCTACTACTAATATTACTACTACCATTACTACCACTGAGAACGGAACGTCGAACAAGCTATAGTAACCAAAAAGGGTTAAAACGAAGCCACCTCTCTCCATTAACGAAATTACACGAAGTATTTTTTGTTTTGTTTTGTTGATCATCGTTCATATACAAGAAACATTCAACTTTTTGCCACGAGAATTGTATTATTATATGTATTGTTGATGTTTATATATATATATATATATATATATATATATATATATATGTTTTGTCCCTCTAAAATCGGATCGACTTGGCCATATTTATTTGCTGTTAACCCGATTCTGACCCAACAAGCTTACAGGTAGACCAACGGAGAGCTTTCGGAATTCAACGACCCGATAACTACTCGGCAGGATGAAAAATCACAACGTGGCTGGTGAGTGAAATCGAATCGACATTTGAAACCGGAGACTTAGGTCTAACCTGTAATACTGGACCATACAGGACCAACGGCCGGTTTTGTGGATGACGTCGGCCCAGTGGGCTTAGGATACGGTGTCACATGGACGCCTTGCCCAAAGATCGCGTTACAATTGACACCGTGCGAGAGGTTTTGCATTACATGAACACATGGCAGTCGTAGGTAATTATCACATTTAGTAATTCACCCGTGTACTTAGTATATGCGGCATAGTGAGTTCGTGAGTTGGAATGGTTTCCTTTGCTTGGCGGTAACAAGTGAAAAGAGATGTCACTCGCTTAAAATATGCGGTTCAGCTAGTTCCTTCCTATATTTTCCCGCTCAACTTTTCGTACATGATCACGTGATTCTGGACGTGTTTGAGAAGCTATCTCGGTTTCTAAGGTTATCAGCTTGTAAGACTAAATTGATAGATTGAAAGAAAGGGGAGTGAATGTAATATATTATACAGAGGGGGGAAGTGTAAAGTGTAAAATGTATGCGTGGTTAAGGGTTTTGGCTGCTTAAGGATGTAACATAAGATATTTTTTGATAAAACTGTGTATTTGTGTTTGTTTAAAAATTTTGTTTTCTGTTAAAGAATTTCTTTC